AGAGATTTTAGACTGTTTTCTATTGGTGTAAAAACACCAGAGGCTGGACACTTTGTGAAGAGGTTTATTTAGCTAGCAGCTTTGGAGGCTGAAAGTCTGGGATCTACTGACCCCATCTGTTTGACCTCTGGCAAGGGGGACAGCCTGGCTCTCCCAGTGCATAGCAAGAAAGCAGGAGGAGAAACGGCTGCATCTAAAAGCTGTGGAGCCTGTGGGATGGCCTTTATGTCATAGCTCACTATGTGTGTGTGTTTGTGTGTGTCTGTATGTGTACATGTCTGTGTGCATGTCTCTGTGTATGTCTCTGTGTGTGCATGTGTGTGTTTACATGCTACAACACATATGTCTGAGAATCTCCACCATGTCAGGTGCAGAGATTGAAATCAGATCATCAGGCTTAGTGGTAAGCGCTTTCCTCTCCTCTCCTCTCCTCTCCTCTCCTCTCCTCTCCTCTCCTCTCCTCTCCTCTCCTCTCTTCTCCTCTCCTCTCATCTCCTTCCTCCTTTTTTTTGTGTAACAAAAAAAAAACAAAAAACAAAACATGGGTTCTGGGGACGAAACTCAGGTCCTCATGGTTGTATACCCAGTTCTTTTCTGACTGAGCCAGAGTCCTACACCAGAGAACTACACCAACCTTCCGAGCAAACCTTGGGAAGGTCAGCATCCTCAGTGACATCATCATCATCATCCTAGGTCTCTCCTGTACATGTTTACCATCTGTCACATCACGTGTTGGTAACTGAGCTTCTAGTACGTTACCTTTAGGGGACACAACAAGCCAAGTCAGGCAGTGAGGCAATACCCTTCATGTGTGATGGCATGCCACAGGAAGTAACACTGTCCTGCTATGCTGTCACTGCTCAGAATGGCTTTTCAGCTTGCTGCTATCCAGTCCTTCTTCAGAGCTGTCTTTCATAAACCTCATGGCAAACATACCCTTTGAATTTTTTACTTTCCAGAACCGAGCAAGCTGACATCTCTCCTGCTAGGTTACACCCTTTCTTTGGTTGGAGTAGCTGGAAATGGAACCCAGGACCTCAAGCATGCCAGTGCTTAATTCCTGAACTATAGCCCCAGCCCTTGGTGTGGCTTCAGACAAAAATCATTACAGATTCAGCCCTGCCTCTCCAGCCAGCTTTGACCAGTTCCATCCTCGCCTACATGCTGCATCCCATCATGGATCGGGTGCTTTCAAAGAGGTGACCACCACGGCCATGGCAAGCATCTGTTGTGACATCTGCCTTAGAGTTCAGGTATCAATACTGGCCAGTGCTGTCTTCTTCTTCTTCTTCTTCTTCTTCTTCTTCTTCTTCTTCTTCTTATTCTTATTCTTATTCTTATTCTTATTCTTATTCTTCTTTTCTTATTCTTATTCTGACACAAGTTAAAGAAGTTGCGCCGGGCAGTGGTGGCACATTCCTTTAATCCCAGCACTTGGGAGGCAGAGGCAGAGGCAGAGGCAGAGGCAGGCAGATTTCTGAATTTGAGGCCAGCCTGGTCTACACAGTGAGTTCCAGGACAGCCAGGGCTACACAGAGAAACCCTGTCTCGAAAAAACAAAAAAAAAAAAAAAAAAAAAAAAAAGAAGTTGCAAAGAGAGGAAACACTGGGTGAGTGTGTTCAAGTGTGTATCCACTTCACCTTCTGGTTGTGTGACCTGGGACTCCACTCCTCCTCTGAGCCGAGAGCTTTTATCTTGTAGAGGGTAATGGAGAGTTCTTAAGTGAGGCTCTTAGTCTTAGCCTCTTGGGCTCACTGACAGCTACAATCTCGGCTGCTATTGTACCTTACCCAGTCAGGACTGCTGAGTGTGTGGGAATGGACTTCCTGTGGGGTTCTGTGTCAGAGAGGTTCACTTCAGCTTATGTAAAGAAAAGCAACGTGATAATGGGGGCTGCACACCAGGCTGGGGAGCTGAGAATGACCCCTCAGCCGAGCTGGGCCCTCAGCTGTGCTCACCGGATCCATGAGCTGCTATCGCTCCCCAGGAAATCTCATTTAGCCCTCTACATTAAGGTGGTTAATGCTTTGTTAGTGTGTGTGTGTGTGTGTGTGTGTGTGTGTGTGTGTGCTAGACTGGATTTGTTGTTTTGTTTGTGCTTCACCTGCTCATTGTCCCGGCTTCCCCACTAAGGCTCTCAGCATGAGTTTGTATCTAGCTTGAACACGTATAGGTAACTTTATAAAAATGATCTAAGTCAGGGCTAGGTTTTGCAGCTCAGCAGAAGAGAGCTTGTTTAGCATGCGTGAAGCTTGAGCCCCAGCATCCCATAAACCTTGCCTGATAGTACATGCCTCTAGCCTACTGCTTGCGATGTGGATGCCGAAAGATCAGAAGTTCAAGGTCACCCTTGGCTACATCCTGAATTCAAGGTTGTATGAAACCCTCTTTCAAACAAACAAACAAATGCAAAAAGCTTAAAACCAGTGGCATGCTTTAAAAGGTGTCCATGTATAAGCTCACAGCTCTAGTTCCAGGGGATCCAATGACTTCTTCTGGCCCCCACAGACGCTGCACACACATGATGCAGAGACATACATGCAGACAAAACAACCATACATAGGAAAATAAAAGCTGCCTTTATATTTTTCAAGTCTGAGGACCCTGCTCCAGGTTTTCCCATCCAAGTTCTAGCAGAGGAAAATCGAATGTCTCTTTCATGCACAAAGTCTCCAATTTCCTGACTATTCCATAGCTATCTGGTTATGCAGGTATGGGGAACAAGAGAGCACTGGGGCAGCCATGGCAGTGAAGAGCAAAGGTAGCCAAGTGAACAGCTCCTGTGCCTCAGCTGAGCCTTCTGGCTGACTGCTAGGACCTGACTCCTGAAGCTTTGAGAGTGGAGTTCAAATCCAGGTCACCACAGTGTGCCCAGCTTGGCTGGATAGTATTTTTATTGTTGCGCTCGGGCTGTTTGAGAATTGTGGCTCTGGGGTATTATACATCTTCTGATGCTCATTGTAATAACTTTTTATCCATGGGCTCGTGTGCTAGAAGGTCAGCTCCCAGGGCAGCAGGCTGAGTGGGACCTCTAACAGATGGAGATGGTGGAAGGTTGTCAAGCTATGGGGCATCGGCCTTGGAAGGGATTCCTGTGTGTCTGGAGGAGTGAGTTCTCACAGGAATGAGCTGTTAGGAAAGGGAGACCACCCCTGTACTTGGCCCTTTGCCCTTTTCCCTTCTCTACCGCTTTGAGACTCAGCCGGGAAAACCTTCATCAGAAGCAGAGCAGGTAGGAGAGTCTGGTCTTAGACTCAGCCCTTGGTGAAACTGTGAGCTAAATAACTCTTTTCTCCTCACCTTCTTCTTTTAAATAGAGTATCTTTTAGTCCTACATTGACAACGTCATACCTATAATGTATACATGTATGGCTTGGAACTCACAGAGACAGACCTGCCTGTGTCTCCTGTGCGCTGTGACTAAAAGTATGTATCACCATGCCTAGCTAGCACTGCGTTTTGATCATGTGCACACCCATACCCCTTTGCACTTGCACCAGGAACTCCTGGCCCATTCCTTGCCCCGCTCTATGGCCCCTCCTTGTTTGTTAATAACTTCCTGAGTCCGATCAGTGCTGCTGCTGGAACTCAATCTGACCTTGATGACTTGATCTCAAGCAGGTAGCCGCAGCAGCCGTGACTGGAAGATGCAATGGTGTGTGTGTGTGTGTGTGTGCGCGCGTGCGCGGGCAGATGCATGCATGTGCATGTGTGCGCGTGTGCGCTTGTGTGCAAGTGTGCGCTTGTGTGCACACATTTAGTGCTGAGCACCCAATAGACACTAATTCTCAGCACTTCGCCCAGTTATGCATCTCCACATTAACTGCTGACACCGCAGAGAGAAGCTTCTCTGGCCGAGGCTGAGGCAGCACTGATCTGTGGCTATAAGCATAGATATTTAGAAGACAGTTTGACAACATGTTTTCTAGCAGAAAAACACTAGTAAACTCCCCCTGACTCTGGACCTGTGGCCTCCCACACCACAGACTTTTACTTTTTTCTTTTCTTTCCCTTTCTTGATTGTATCTGTGCATGTGTATGTAGTGTGTCTGTAAGTGTGTGTGGATGCACACAAGTGTGCATGTGGAGGCCAGAGGAGAACAGCGGAAACCCTCTCTATCACTCTCTACCTTATTTCTCTTGAGACAGGGTCTTTCCATGAACGTACGGCTAGGCTAAGCCCCAGCAATCCTCCTGTCTCCACTCTCCACAGCACTGGGGTTATAGGTGTTCAAAGAGGTAGTCAGTTCTTCTGTGGGAGCCAGAGATTTGAGCCTGAGTCCTCCTGCTTGTGCAGCAAGTGTTCTTACCTACTGAGCCATCTCTCCAGCCCCAAACTTCTTTGATAAAGTATCCACAGCTAGACATTCTGTTTTAGTAATTCAAAACAGACTAGTATGCTTACATATTGGTACTTATAGATTAGATATTAGTAGTGGTGACCATAGAGGAATTCTACTTACTGGCTTGCTCTCAGGCTGATATTCAGCTACCCTTTTTATGCTGTCTAGTCTTCCCTGCTTAGGGGTGGTGTTACTTACAGTAGGCTGGTCTTCTTACATCATTTGGCAATAAAGAAAATGCCCCCACAGGCATGACCACAACCAGACCAATGGAGCCAATCCTTTAATTGGGGGTTTTTCTTCCCAGGTACGTTAAGTCGGCAACCAAGAGTAGGCATCGGTGATGCCTTCTGTGGTTGGGAGGTTTGATGGTGTTGGTTGCATTTCTGGAAGAGACTCTCTTTCTACCCCTCGTTTGTAAGCAGCGACACAGTGTTTCTCACACACCATCGCCTGCATGGTCTCTTTGGGCATCATAGATAGAAAGCTAGCTTTCAGGACTCGCAACTGCGTCAGGATGTGCATACAGGGAGGGCAGAGTCTTCAGCCCAGAGAAGGAGGAAAGGACAGTGCCCAGCAGCTACCTCAGAGTCTCCTAAGCTTCAGACTTCAGGAATCCCCATTTTGGGAAGAGTAGGCATGAAAAAACAACAGAATATTTTCCCCTTTTATTCATAAAAACAAATTTGCAACAATTTATTAAAAATCGATACCATGCAGTGGGGCGAGAGAAACTCCTCATTTACATTTGATTCTGCCAGTTCCGGTCTAATTGAAAGCAGTCGTGTGTGCGTGTGTGCGTGTGTGCGTGTGTGCGTGTGTGCGTGTGTGTGTGTGTGTGTGTGTGTGCACTAGCGTCACTGGAAGATGCCCTTGGGCGGAAGGAAGCCTCTAGGAAATGGACCGTGTGTTTGCTGCGTATAAAAGAACAGAACCAGTAGATAGCCAGAATCACTTTGTGGGGCTTGTTAATTGCAGAGAAATTAAAAAAAAATGTGAGTGAACCTACAGGATCAGTAGACAGAGATGTATCTTGTGGGTTAACCTAGAAGACAGAGCACAGTTCGGAGTCACAAGGGATTACAGACGCAGGCTCACCTCTGACAATCCAATACTTTTGTTTTTTGTTTTTTGTTTTTTTTCCTGCTATGCTGGAGTAATATTTCTACAGGTTTTTTTTGTCTGTATACATTATGTACAGTTAATTATCTCTTTCCCTTTGAAAAAAAAATTAACGCGGTCTTTTAAATGAAATTTGGTTTTGGTGAAGTCGAAAAAGCAAGGAATACTGGTTAACACACACAGTGAGTGACGACACGGAGTTTTGGTGCCTAAACAGAGAAGGACATCAACTTGACCTGTGATGCGTTGACATTTTTCCCCCTATAAAAGCTACAGAACCTCCGTAACCTCTCTTTGAGGGAAGGGAGGGGATAGCTATGTGACATAAACTGGGGTGTTTTGAAATGTTGGCGATGGTGATTCACGTGGGCCCTTTTGTCACAGCCTGGTGGTTGACAGCAGTGTGTTCCTGACTGCAGTGGTCTGGGAAGAGATTATTGCCTGCCTGTTGAAGCTGCCTTTAGGATTTCTTTAGGGAGTGAGCAAACCACTTATTTGTGCAGACGCCCCTGGACGGTGCCCTTCAGGCCTTTAGTGAAGAATGAACCTATCAAGGAATGTCAGATCTGTTCCTAGGTAGAGGCCTTGCAGGAAGTTTCTCTGGGCCGCACCACACCCCCACCTTGTGGGAGCGCTGAAGGTCATGGCCATACTAATACCTCACAGGTCAGAGCTGCTTCACAGTGCAACGCTTTCCTGGATGGATGAGATCAAGTGTCCATCCTCAGAGTGACCCTGTGAGGTAGGCAGGATGGGTGTTATTTCAACCCCAGTCTGTTACAGAGGGGAAACTGAGGCTCAGAGAGACACTGGTGACTTGCCCAAGGTCACGGAGAGAGTCTGAGGGGACTGAGGACTCAAATCCAGGTCTGACTCCCAGGCCGGTGCTCTTTGGGGTTCAATTACAAGGGAAGTATGTCGTGATGGATGAGAACCAGCCTGCTGACTGACCACCTCAGTGACACCCTAGGTGGGCACTCACAGGTTGGGGCTGGAGGGGCACTGGAGGGCTACCTTCTGGAAGGGAGACCTGGGTCAGCAGCTCTAACTCAGGAACACAGAGATGACTTTTAGCAGAATGCCCCTGATTCACTTTGGTCAAAAAACAAAGTCAGTGGAGGAGGGGGGAATCCCAGCAGCCCTTGGGCCCCCATGGGAGAGGTTAAAGTGCACAATCTTTCTTTATCGTGTTTTCTGGGAGCAGACATTCCATGATTAGCTCAGGTGGTTCCCCTTATTACCGGGAACACAAATTTGAACACAAGGACATGGCCGACACGGTGGGTGCATGACAGACTGTCAGTTGCATCCTGCAGAGCATGTCTGCAGTGTGGTGCCCTGAATCCCCACAGTCCCCAGAATGGGTGTTATTGTGTTAATGTGTGGCATTTATTAGAGAGTAACAAACATCTCTCTTCTGTTGGATGTCCCCTGGGAGCATGCGCAGCTGCCTGCTGTGGTCCCCCAGCCCCAGGGCTGTGCCTGTCTGCCCTTCCTGCTGACTCCCTGTTCCAGGGAGGCTGAAGTGGGCTGGGCCAGCTGCTGGGGACCTGGTGGCCCTGCTCACCTTCTCCCCCAGAGTGGAGAAGGGCTGGTGTGTGGGGGCGGGCACCACCGATGACGTGTGTGCAGAGTGCAGAGGGCCATTTCTGCAGAGCCCTTGCTCTGGCCGCTTGGCGAAGATAGCTGGAGTCTGAGGCCTCTCTCCTTTGTCTGGAGTTTGATTTGTTTTTTGCAAGTTTCAGACATCCCAACTCCTCTTTGTTTGCAGACGCCAAGGAGAAGTCATTGTCATTCTTCTCCCTCGTGAGAATAAGACCGTCACAGATAAGGCTCGAGGTCGGTGCCGAGTCCCTGTCTGCCTGAGCGCCATTCCAGCAGTCCGGAGAGGCAGCATGGTGCCCAGCTTCTTGTCAGTGTGCCAGTGGCAGGCGCCTTGGCCCAGCGTGATGCTGTCCCGGGGAGGCCCCGGCCCCAGACCTCCCACTCCTACAGGCCCGAGACCATGACTCGGAAGGAGGGTGGTACATGTCTGTGGCGAGGGCTGGCGGTAGGGCTGACACAGGGGCTGACGCAGCTGGCGTCCACGCCTCCAATGGATGGGAGGTAGGCGTGATGGAGGATGGGGAGCTGGAGAGACAGCCGGCGCTGGATGCTGCAGGGAAGACAGGGAGAGTTAGTGAGGGCTGGCTGCTCTCCTGGAAGCTTCTTGCTTTTATTTTGGCAAAATAAAATAAAATAAAATAAAATAAAATAAAATAAAATAAAATAAAATAAAATA